GTGTTCCCCTGTTGAGCAGGTTTCTGCTAAGGTCATTCAAGCAGTGAATGCACAGTACTGTGGTGCAGAGTGAGGCCTGATGCTGCACATGCAGGTAAGTCATGAAGGAGAAGAAGGGTTTTTTTAGGTTGCTTTGCTGACCCTAGTGGACATCTTAGGGTATATCCATTTTAGCTGGTAATAAAGCCCAATAAGAGCATGTCACTTGGGTGAAAGAGTTAGAACCAAAGACCTGGTGTCCACACAGTACATGCTTTGAGGGTTTTACTTCTGCATAGTCCCATGGACTCAATGCCATTTGCAGCTACAGCAAGTCTTCAGATTTGGTTTAATCCCAAAGGAATCCAGTTTACACACTGTGGGCCTGTTGGCCTTCAAGATACAAGAGAGCTCCATGGATTTTGGTGCCAGTTATGCCTTTCTCAGTTTCTTGCTGATAGTTGTCATTAAGTAAAGCTGATTTTGTTATTTGACATCTTATCACTCATCTTACAGGACCGGTTCCTCCTCTAACAGTAACAGGTGCTGAAAGACCTGCATTTCCACTCCAGCTGTAGAGTTCTGTATTGCTGTAGGAATAACTTGGAAATCCATCTGTGAGCAACTCTATGCAAGATGTATTTAATGAGACTGTTGCATATTCTTATCATCTATCCTGCATTTGTGTGAAACAGTATGAGCAGGAAGAGTGCTGCAAACCCCATTTTTTAAAAGCATAATATCTAGGAAATACTGTCCACTAAGTTTTATAGAGCTACATGACAAAATATGTAACTGCCTATCATCTACCTTATTGGAGTCTTATTTACAAAAAAAAAAAGATCTGCTTTCCTCTTTTACAGAGAGCAAGATGATTCTTAAAGAAAATGTCTCAGAATATCAACCAAAATTGATAATCATGCTCACTTTGTGCTGGATCCTAGCATTGTTTGTCAGTGGGGCAGAAGTTACAGAGATTAACTTGCCAGGTAAGAGTCTGTTTTGGTAAGGTTTGGTGTTCGTGGTGCTTAATGACAGCTGAGAAAAATGGATCTGCATTTTGCCATGCCTTCCTGAGCTTTTTGTGCACCTGTTCATGCTTGTGTCAGGGAAAGAGCTGCTTCTAGCCTTTCTGCAAGCTTTTTAAGTGTTGGTAATACAGTTGATGCTAATATGATTCAAAACTCAGTTCCCCAATGAAAAGAAAACGGCAAATGTAAAGGAGAATTTCTGAGAATCAAATGGAGCAAATGAATTGCTTCTGTGACTCCTTTAAGTCCCCAGCAGCTGTTCCAAGCCTGTTGGGGGGAGAAGGAAGAGAAAGGCAGGGCGAGACGGATGTATCAAAGTCTTCCACCCACACAATCTCTCTGGAGGAGCTTGATCCAATTCAGTTCGCAGAGAGAAACTGAAACTGCGAAGAGTCTCCCAGGTGGCCGGGCAAGGAACCGAAGAAGTCATGTCCTCCCTTCTGCTGAAGTGAAATCCTGCCATACTTTCAGGGGTTACTACATCCTGGCAGGAGGGGTTACACAGCAAGATCGGTCAACCCTGAGAGCATTTGGGATTAGAGTGGGTGACCACAACTTTCAGAATCCAAAAATTTGTCTAATTTTAGTGACCGTAACTGAAACATAAGAGCGGCAAGATTTGAAAGCAGGGAGATGATAATGCTTGTCAGTCTTACCCTCAATAGGGAGTGTGGCGAGCAGGCTCTGCTTCTTCATGTTCATGTCAATCCCTTCTCGTTAATATGATGAGAGCTAGAAGACCTACATCTGGTTTTTTATAGGGTTGAGGTTTAACAGGTTAACACCTATGTGAAAACCTTCAGTTGCTTAAAAATCTTAAGCTATTTTCACATTGGGCTTTTGAAAAAGTCCTAATAAGCCTTTGGAAACCTTTGACTAAACTTTTGAGAACATTGGCAAATTTCATGTTTACAATTCTCTATTAGCCTAGTGTCTGGTCACATAAAAAAATATTTAACACAAAGAAAGGTAAAGTTGTATTTTTGTAGTATTCCTAATTTTTTTTTTAAATCATGTTGACTGTGTGTTCTTTCAGGTGGTGCTGATATCTTATTGTCCTGCTTTTCAGGATGTCCCCATGTTGAACCTCAAATATGGTATCGTGCTATTAGCGATGAGGAGTTTGTTTTAGAATGTGCTTTACCGGATAGAGACACTACCCACGTTTATAAGAACTCACTTCTGAAAGAACATAAGGTGAAATGGTTCTGGCGTCAGAAAGATAAAGAGCCACCGAAGGCTATCAAGGAAAGCTCTAATCCTGCTCTCCAAGGGGGTGCACTGTGGTTTAAGCCAGTAAAGGACAGTGCTTCTGGAGTGTACACCTGTGTGATAGGGTATGTAATGGAGCAAAAAGCTGGTATTTCTATGCAAGAATTAATTGTTTTGTTTTGTGTATTAAATGTTTAACTTCTTTTTCTGTATCACTCAGGGAAAAATTCCCATGTCTCAAAATTGTTTTGGAGGTTCAAACAAAGAAGGTGGCAAAATGTTCAAGTTATGACACAAATATGCTATATCTTCTTGCTGGCAGTGGGAATTCAATAACTTGTCCTGGGACAAAATGCTACAGCCATATAAGAAAGCAAGATGTAAAATGGTACAAGGTAAGAGTCACTCTCTTGAGCATTTGTAAGAGCTCAGTGGAGGTATAGCTTTAGGTCTAGTTAATGCTCAAGTGCCATAGGTTCTTGAACTTTTCTTTGGCAGACAATGCAGCATGAGTAATTAAACCCAAAAGCAGAATATTGAATTGCAATACATCAAATCTGTAAGTAAGAGTTTTGAAGAAATTTGCCTCACCCAAAATATTAATCCATGAAAGAGAAGCCTAGAAATTCTTTCTCTTCAGCTAAAAAATTGAAGTAATTGAGAATCAAAATAAGTTCTTTACAAAACTGACATATTATTGAAATTTAAAATTCTAAGTTTTGTTTTGACATTTTAAATCCCGAAAACATCAAATATACCAAAGAAAAAGTGGGCTTGTTAGAAACAAAATTATTTTAAGATTATTGTTTCAAATTATTCTTTCGTAAATTCCTGTTTTGAATGAAACACTATTCCACTGAAACTTTATTGACTTACTTTTTTTCAAATGACCACTAAAATACTTACAAGCTAAAATTTATTCCTGTTGTGTTTGTAAGGACTGTAATGTACCATCTAAACCTGTATAAATGAGCAAATGAAAATGATTGGAATTTCAATTGTGCATTTTACTACCTGCTATTATTTATTCTAACAAGTAGAATGACGATCTAGTCATTTACTTTCAAACCTTAAATGAAGTACATCTTTACCTACATCTTGACCTGAAGTCCACTGAATTTAAGAAGATTCTTTCCATTTTGCATTAGTGGATTTTTTTCCAGGAATTTAATTTAAGGAAAACTCTTAGTGGTCTTAGAGAATATGAGTATACTAAGATGAAAAATAGGGGTACTTTTCAAAAAATAGTTAGGTTACATCCTTTTAAAACTAGTGACAGTGTTGTCAATCTATCATCTCAGACAATCCAAAACCATGATTTACTTCTCATAAAATAACATGAAAATGCTTTCAAAATAATTTATTTACAAAATAAAAAATACCCAGTCCATCAAAAAAGTGATCCTTTTTGTTGCTCTTTAGTAATAGGAATTTAATTTACATTAGATTCATGATTTCACATTTCTCTCAGCAACCACAAATTTTAAATATTTTTTTTTTAAAAAGACAATGATATTCATATATTATAGACCACAATTTTTTAATGTAACTGACAAAAGTCCTCAGGCTCCTAATAAATCTTTTTTTGGGCTTCAGTGGAAACAGTTTGACTTAGCCCTATTGCCATGGTAATCCTATCCAAATATCTTAAAATACAATATAATAACAGCAATAACAACAACAAAAAGACTTTGAATTCTTTTTTTTTTTTTTTTTTCATTAGGATGGTCATCAGATAAAACATAGGAAAAGCAGACAAAGCCTAAAGCTTAAGCAGGATGAAATCTACTTGAATCCAACCTACGAAAAAGATGCTGGAATATATGTGTGTGATTACACTCTGTATGACAACACTACCAAGTGGACAGTGAGAACAGCAGTAACAGTAGAAGTCATTGGTGAGTAATATAAAAACTCAATACCTCAGGTAAAGTATGCTTTCTCTATTCTTTCCTACTTTATTTATGTCTTTTGTTCAGGCTCTTGTTCTGAAAAACCCATAAACTGAATTAGCTGCACAATCATTAACATCCTCTTCCAATATTCTGAGGACATGTTGGGACATTCACTAGGACCGTCAATGTTCAGTAATAACACGTAGCATACAAAACCATAACTTTCGAGATCTAATTCTGCCTTGGATTTATTGTAGTTCCTAACAGTGGGGATCAAATCCAGAAAAGAGTTTAGATGTCTTGATCTGGGAGTAGAATTCATGAAACTCCAACCGGTGCCAATGTTCGCCACGTACCGTATGGGGAGTGTTAGGAAGATATTGACGTGCTAGGAGGGAGGAGTGCTAATCCTGCACGGGGAATGTGGACGAAAGCAGTCCTACCTCTGTCCCTGAAGTAGAGGCTTAAGTGAAAGTAGGAGTTAGTTAGATAACAAAATCGTTCCTTGTGGCATGGATGAGACATGAGGATGATGAGAAAGGTGATGTTGGTGGGATCACTGCCCATCTCCCACGTGACTTTTTAACAGCGGAGGAAACAGGAGACCTCTGAACAGTCTAACAAACATACAAGCCATTTGTTGTGGTGCATGCTGTTTGGGGGGAAGCATTTCTGCCTGCATGACCTATTCTTTTAGGCTTTGGAGGGATTACTAAATAAAACTGAGCAGAACTCTGTGGCACAGTGATACGACATGGCCTTATATACTCCTTCAAATTCAGGTAACCTTTTCCATAATATTGACTGTTCTCTGCTGCCGTTCAGGGGAAGCCCAGGTGCTGCCTGGCAGAGTGCTGTTGGACAATGTCAACACCCTGCGAGGGAGCGTGCCCGCAACTCACGATCACGAGCGAGGGAGGCTCTGTTTCGTTTGCTACACGAGGGACGTAGTTATGCTTTTCTCCAGATATCTGTGGTTGAGTGCTGTAAGACACTCTCGTCAGACGTGCCAGTCACTCCAGTCAATCAGAGGTCCCAGAGGAAAGCATAGGTACATTTGTTCTATACCCTGAGCTGGGTGGACCCAGTACAGCTGTATCCGTATGACAGTAGCACAGGACCTATTCTCAGCATCCTGGTGGAAAGTGGGCCACTCTGTGGAAGAAAGAACAAGATTTAGGGAGTGAAAGAAAGATGTCAGGGGAGGCAATCTGGTTCTATGGTCTAGTGAGGACAGCACTCCTCTGAAATAGCTGGTCTCTTTTTTGCAGATATTTGATGCATATGGTTCTAAAAAGTTGTGGGAAAAATATATACACCTCATCAGGAACAGGGCCTGGAAACCACATCTCACTAACTTTTGAGATCTCTATGTGCTGGGTTAAAATGTCTGGTGCTCCTTCACTCTTCTCTCTGGCCATATTCCCACAATATTTTCCAAGCAGGTCTGAACTAGCTCTATTCTGATCTGGCTGAATCTGAGCTAATGCACTGTGCTTCTCAGTTCTTTTCCCTCACTCCATAGCACAGTCAGAAAAACACTTGAAGCATGCCTTATAAATATATATTCCCCCTGCATCTTGCATACATTTCTGTGCTTTGGCTTGGTTTGAAAAAAAAAAAAAAAAGGTTATGTGGCACCACTTCCTGCAGTATGGGACTTTCCTAGGATATCAGAGGATGTCATTAACTGTGCCCTTTGGCAGCCCTTTCTTTTTTCGGACGGGGGGAGAAAAAAGAAAGATTATTTTAATGCAAGTACCTGTGCTTGTGAATGAGGTGTGTACACTGTATGCGTGCTTACTGGGCATGGAATGGGGCTTGGCAGGGAACTGGTATGAGGACTGAGTCCTTCAAGGCATTTTGAAAGTGGGGGACCTGGTTTCTGAATCCTAAATATCCTGAAGTGCAGGCTAGAGAGCGAGCTCCCCAGCTCGTGTAAGATGGCAATGCCTCAGAGTAGCAGAGACAGCAGGTCTTTAAGTAGCTACACAAGTTTTGTGGTCAGAACTGCCTTATCTGCGAACTCTCAGACACCTCAACAACTGTAAATATACTCATGGACTTAGGCATCTAAATTCCATCTAACATTTGAGAAAGAAAATTCTATAAGATATTTTCTCTGGTCTTCTGCACTGATGATAGCGTTATAGTTATTAACAATATTCCTGTTAATTGCAGCAAAAACCACTATCCATCCACCAAACTTCTTGTATCCCAGTGGTGTGGTGATTCTCGAGGCAGAGCTTGGTAAGTTTCGATTCCTCATCTGGAAGTGAAAGAAAATGTTTAAATGAGGTATTGCTAGATAATGATAGATCTTGACAAAGCAAAGCAGCTTTGCTCTCTAGGAATATGAGAATTGTATATAAAATGTAGGTTTATTTCTTGATATATATCTTTGTGGGTATTAAAGGAAGCATCATATGTTATACAGATCCCAGGCTATTTAAGAGAAAAATATTCTGGTGACGTCCACGTATGGTTTTCCTGTGCTAATTTGTTCCAGGGAAGCCACTTGAATTGGAATGCCGTGTACAATTTGGGTTTGAAAAAGTTTCTCTGATGAAGGTAACATGGAAAAGAAACAACAAAGAAAATATAAATGAGAAATTGAATCAGGAAACAAGGTAAGAAAAAAAAAAACAGTAGTCTGATTACTACTACAGTCAGCAACTGCAAAAATCCTTCTACAACAGCTTTACTGAATGCATTTTACTGAAAGAAACTCAGAAGCCTCTGTTCTTTAACATGTTAATGTATGTCCATGAGCATATGACAGGCATGTGCACTTCACATACATGTGCACTTCACATATTGATGGCCATACAGTCAAACCTTCTGTGCAATCTTAGCTCTTCTTCCTAAAGCTTTAGCTCACGGACAGCTTCAACACGGATGGTGCTTGGTGGCCTATGCCTGCATCAGCTGTTTTCAAGTGTTCATGCTGTTGTGCCCGGCTGGCAACTCACACAATTTGTCTTTGGAAGCTGTCTCCAAGTGGGGAATAACCCAAATCAGTAAAACGGTACTGTGGACATTGAAAGGAATTTGGGTGCCTCAGACATTGGGGTGTGCTTATTGACTCAGTCTGAGGACTTAAAGCACTGAATTTCAGGACATTGCATTTCAGGAGTCTTCCCTGGCAAGAATTAACTGGACCCTGCAGAGAAGCAACACGTAGGGGAAAGATTTCCTGTGATTTGGGGACAATCCAAATAGTCACCACACTTCTCTTTCCTTCCTGTACTTGCCTGTCTCATTCACTTATGCAGTGTCCAACTTGGGCAAGAAACATAGTGAAGGCAACACGGGCAAGCCCTGAGTCATCTTTATGGGAAAACTTTTCTGTACACCGGGGGAAGCAAATGCCCTGCTGTCACTGCTAAAATCAAGTTCTTAATAGGAGTCATATGGGAAAAAACCCAGCAAATTATAGTATTACACACACACATGCGCACACACACACTCAGTCATGAAGTAGATTGGAAATTGGATTTTCCTAACATTTGAATGTTTAGATTCGTAATGTTCTTCTCACCAAGTTTTTTGCTTTCTGCATGCATACAATTTCTGTTTGTTTATTTTTTTAAAACCCAAATGAATAAAACATCCCCAGCAGACTTCCAGTACAGGTTGAATCCTTGCCCGTGCTCATGCCTGTGTATCTTGAGTTAGCAGAGGTAGGGCCATGGTAGACTCTCATTTTGCAATAGTATGATGTGAGGTGCCTTCAGGACCACATAGAGACTCCTTTACTTGTGGCTTTCAAAGAGAAATGTTGAGACTCAGAAACCCTGGGTATTCATGAGTGGCTGCAGACACAGATGTGTACCCCACAACCCTCTCTCAGCTCCAAAGGGATTCCTCTGTTACCGCTTCATTGCCTATACTTCTGAGCCTTGTATCTCTCTTATTCTGTTTGCCTATCCTGCCCTTGGGCTTTTTACCCCTGTGCGAGAGGCTGCGCTGCTCAATCTTTTTGCCCAGCTAGTTCTCTCTTGGGACTTCTTTCTGAAGTTTCACTTCCCTGCATCTCCACTGGGGAATTTTTTACATCTTAGAAAAACACAAATAATCTTAAAGATGACAAAGGGGGCTATATTTTTAAAACTAGGCAAGTGCTTAAGCATTTTGCTCAGCTGATGAATTAAGAGTAAACCTCTCAGTCTGCAGAACTCTGACATTAGTATTTTCTTACAGTGTAAAAACCAAGTTGAAGTTCCAAACCAGAATATTGGATCGCTGCTAAAAGTTCAAGCTGAATGTTAAGAAGTTGCAAACTGCTCTTTCTTTTTATTTAAGACACTTGAGTATTGTGTGAATGAATAACAAAAGTATCATGCAAATATATTTTTTTTTTCTCTGTAGTGTTTATCCAAAAGGTTTAAAGGGGCACACACTTCTTCATGTTGCGAAACTGAAAGAAGTGACCGAAAGGGACCTCAGAAGCAACTTCACATGCTTTGCTGAGAATTCGGTGGGCAATGCCACAGCTGTGATCCAGCTGAAAAGAAAGCAGAGAGGTAAAACTATTGACGGATGACTGTTTGCCCTTGGAGAAACATTTTGATTTACTCGCTGCTACTAATTCATTTCCCATTGACACTGGCTTTTTAGCCAGCTGCAGAAGTTTGTTGAAGCTGGATGGGAAAACTTTGATTTGTAGATGTCTAGAAAGGCACATTATTCTGAGGACTACTCAGAAGGATGGGGGTATCTGGGGACTTTCTGCGGGCAGGTGGCCCAAGTAGAAGCTCAAGAGTAACTGGGAGGAAGAAGAGGAGAGTAGCATCTCTGAACATTAACAGGCAATCTACTAAAGTGAAGCAGAGCGGCTGCTGAAAGCAATAGTATTCCTTGATTTTCATAGGTCGTTTCTGTTTGTTTCCCCAGTCCTTAGCATGCATCTTTCTGAGCAGTTACCATTACTGATATGAATGTGGCAGCCTTTCAAGCAAAGGCCAGAACCAGAATCAATATGGAAATTAAACCGTTGAATCGTAGTTCACAGTGGAGATTCACCATTGGAGTAGCACAGGAAGCCTCCAGCAGGGCACTGTGTGCCGCTCTGTGTGTTCTGATGTGATTTTTCCATCTCAAGTGATGACTGCTTTCTGCCCTGCTGAGCATACCACAGACCATTTTCTCTGTGCTTTCCATCACAGATTGGCTTTTCATACCAGTCAAAAAAGGTCCCTGAAGGTAGACTGAAACTCTATGTTAAGGTTTGCAGCTAAATGAATTCCTGACTTCCCTAAAGTTTGCCAGCGGGGCAAGAATGAAGACACTGAGATGGTTTGCCCTCATTTCTGGACTGAGTTTTTCATCTAAGTGTCAACATTATTTTGGAAAGCTTGAGTTATGATAGACCCTTTTCTTTCTACAGTGTTTCTCTTATACGTACTGTGCAGTGCCATTTCTACTCTGTTTGCGTTCCTTTTGTGCACTGCCTTTATTTACCAGCACTGGATTGAAATAGTGCTCTTGTACCGAAGTTATCTGGTCCACAGCGAAACTACAGGAGGTAAGAAACATTGTATAATATTCATTTTCTCCAGTTTTTCTACTGCCTTTTGCCATGTGGGTTAATCTGGTGTGAGTTAACCATTTAATTACATTTTCTTAAGGACTCTCTTCTCTTTGAGCTGATATAAAGTCTGTTAAAGCTAGCAAGACACTCACTGCATTCAGATGGGAAAAAAGCCAGGCAGTGTGGAGGAAATATCTAAACCCAACTGTTAGCCTTTAGTAGATTGCCTCTAACACTCACAGTTAGCCTTTTACAAGCTGCCTAATTTCCCCACGGAAAATTAGAGCAGGAAGTTGAATTTTGGCAGTCCTTTTGCAGGGAATAATAGAGCATCATCAACATTTTAACTTCATTCTCCCAATGTGTTCAACAGAACCTGTGGACAAGAATCAAATGTCGCTGCAGAACTAAGTGAAGGACTCCAGAGTCCTTTTTCACTTGAAGCCAAATAATTTCTTAGAAGAATAAACAAAGGAGAGAAATAAGATGATATAGGGCACCGAGATGTGTATGTTTGGAAAATACTAATATTGCATTTCTAAAAATTATGTTGACCATTTTGACATTTACACAAGAGTGATCAGCTTCCAATATTTCAAATATCTGTAGTAGCATTTCCCTATCATCTCAGCTAAAATGGGCCTCCAACATATTAGGCAGTGTAAAAATATATCAGAAATGACAGTGCCTACTTCAAAGAACTTACCATATTATTTTCTTACATGGATTGAAAGAAATCTGATAGTATGTGCCCAAGGCAATTTTTCTAAAAATTCTTGAATCTTGATGCAGCTTGAGGTATAGGTGCCTGAGTCTGCTTTTGTGTTTGCATCTGTAGATGCAGATTATACCTGAGTGGGAAATAATTGTATCTAGATATCTATAAATACATACGCAATGAGACAATTAACTGTCCTTTTAGAAAGTATTTTTGTGAGCCCTAAGGCAGCTGGCAAAAGCGATTTGGGAAATCACTCAAAATTTCCCCTCTCTTTGGTAACAAATTGATTTAAGAACCTCTGGGAAGTCCCCTTAGAGCTCACCCTGTATGTGACAGAGACAGATTGAAGTTGAAGACATCGTTGGGTTCCACCGTGGCAGCCTCTGTCCCGCTCCCTGACTCTCATGTGCTGCATGCACACAGCACCATTTGCAGCATGGGGGCATGGAGTGTGCAGACCAGCTGTGCCTACCCAAATCGTTTTCTGCCTAAGGTGATTGGCCATAAAACATGTCCTCACCTACAGGATTATGTCCTTCTCACTTCGTGTGGATGCATGTCAAGTTATCCGAAGTCTGAAAGGACTTGCTCACAGGGCAGCAAAGCAATAGTTATGACTTAATTTTGCTGTTTCTTCCTTTCCATCATTTCTTCTCTCCCGTCCCTCTTAACACAGAAGGGCTCAGAGAATTGCAGAATCCCACAAGGTCGGAAGGGACCCCTGGGAGTCATCCGATCCCACACCCTGCTCAAAGCAGAGCCAGCCTAGGCCAGGTTGCTCAGGACCTTGTGGACAGAAATTCCACGACCTCTTTGGACAACATGCTCCAGTGTTTGATCACTCTCACAGTGCAAATGTTTTCATTAACATCTAATGTGAATTTCCTTTGTTGCAACTTGTGTCTGTTGCCTTCTTTTCTGTTACTGTGCACCTCAAAGAAGAGTCTGTCCATCATCTCTGTACCCTTCCGTTTGGTAGTTGAAGACAGCAGTAAGGTCACCTTTTTTTTCATGCCTCTCTAACCCTTGGGCTTCCTCCTTAGCCAATTCAGATATATCTCTTAAAAATCTTGCCTTCTTCCACAAGGAGAAAGAAGCAATGCAGAAGGTGTGGTACTAACAGTTTTAGACCACGTATGCAGTCACTTTGCTTAACTTGGGTATTTGTCATTTCCTACCCTTTGGGCATCTTAAATGTTTGTGCCAAAAGTTCTTCAGATTGTAACTGTCCTTCCGTACAATTCTGAGAAAAAAAAAAAGTAATTCCTAGTGGTGCTTAATGTGTATTTGTTTTTAACTTGCTATTGTAATAGTAATGTTATAAAGGAAAACAAGTGATGTATTTATTAATGGTTGTTGTCTAATAAGATTGCAGTGACCTCTGTGGGTGAAATGAGGAATATCTAGCTTGTAGTGCAATTTATTGTCATTTAAAAAGTGTTTGCAAAGGAGCTTCAATTCTGATTGTAGCTGAAATGAAGTTCAGCTAAACCAAGCTAGTTACCCTCTGCCCCACCTTCAATTCCCACACTAGTCCTGCGTGCCTGCTGTTGGTAATTCGCTCTTGTAGGCTTAAATCGGCTCAACTTAGCAGAAAAATAACTCGGTGAAAGACAGTGAATAGCTAGCAAAGTGAATCAGCTTCCTCTGTTACCACAAGAGCTTCAACACCAGTAGAAGGAAGTGGTGAAAGTCTGTGGCCAGGAGCAGAGGGGAGGAGTGGAGATGTAACGTGTGTTGTCTAATCACATCCTTGGCCTCCAAACCTAATCTGCACACCTATGTTTTGTTTTGATGACATACTTTCTGCTGCATGCTGGTTCTGAATGTAGGTGTTCAACCCCAGCACATGCATGTCATTAGTTTTCTGTGTGTATTTCCTTTACTCCCTGGAATCCATATGAGCTCTTCTAGATCGTGTGGGAATCTGATGACTCTAGCTCAGGTTTGTGATCCTAATCTTACATCTAGGGATAGGAATCAGGAGGTTAACACTGAGGCATGGGGATCACCCATGACACCTAACCATTATAGTTAGGTGTCTGTGCTGGAGGTAGGTGTCTCATGGGAACCATGCAGTGAAGACGTAGTCAATATGGTGAAATCTAGAGCCTTCTCAGCTCACTCTGCAGCAGGCCCGGTGCTAAACAGCTGAATTTCTTTCTGGTTCCTAATAACTGTATTGACATGATACAACTCAGGTGATTGAACACAGGTGTCTGATGTCATTTGGGCTGCCTGAGGATGTCCTGCCATTCCAAAAGGTTTGAGTCTCCAATAGTTCCCACATCAAATTTTGCAGTCTCATCAACGACATCAAGCAACTACATACGGGAACTGGACTGAGTCGACTGTGTCTTTTTCTTTCACCAGGAATTCTTTTTATTTTCCTTCCTCCTCCCTCAAGTGTAGTTCAAATTTTACTCAGCAAATAGATAAGGTTTGCTTTTGCCTTGTAGTTAAGAATGAGCCTAACTCAGATCATTGGTACCAGGGTGTTTCAAAGATGAGAAAATTTCTTTATGTATTTTTCATCTGCACTTTACAAACATATTATTTTAATGAGACTGAAACAAAGTTCAGGAACTGGTCAGTACTTGGTGTCTGAGCTCATACTTGGATCAGATTTAGGCTTTGCTACTTGTACCAGTCTCTCTGATTAGAAACAGAACAGTACATCTTTTGCAAGCAGTTAATATTTAAGTCCATTATTCTTTTAAAACTCACTAAACTTTCAAAGTAGGTTGTGCATTGATGAGTATTTTTGGAATCAGCGTTTGGTCAAGTGAGAGATTTGGAATCATTGTCTACAAAATGGATTTTTACTGGAACGCACCAGATCTTCCACTGGTGAAAACTGGACCACATTTGTGAAAATGCAGAAAAATGCCTGATTTAAACTTTCTTGCACTAATCATCTGTAGCTTCCTTATTTGCTTTGGTAGTGTATGTCTACAAAATTTGCAAGACAGTGAGGAGTAAGGGTTGACCTTTGGGTAACTGGATGGTTGTACTTCATGGATAACTTTAGGTTTGTGTTCTGCCTAGTTAAATAGATATAAATGGAAACTGAGCATTAAGAAAGAAGCTGGATGCTTCAGACAGACTTGTTAATGTATACAGTGTTACTTTTTATTTATTTTAGATGGCAAAGAATTTGATGCGTTTGTGTCCTATGCAAAACTAGAATCTTCTGAAAGTGACTCGACTTTAATTAGTGAGGAAAAATTTGCCCTGGAGCTTCTTCCAGATATGCTGGAAAATAAATATGGATACAAATTATGCATTCTTGAAAGAGATATTCTTCCAGGAGGAGGTAAGGTCCCTGTGGATGGTAGAAAATCGTCAGTTCTTTATAAAATTGTTTTTTACTTTCCAAAAAACCTTATGCACCAGATCAGCAAATGGAATATTTTGGGACTGGAGTTTCTTCTCAAATCTCATGGTGTTTTGATCTTTATATCTGGCCCCTGCACCTGAGGAATACGTACGTTAGTGTGGTTGCTGGGAGCTACTAGGCTGAGACAAAGCTTCTTGTCCAACAATTTCTTTGCAAGAAGACTCCATTCCCTGAAAAGAAGACCCCAAATATTTCAGTAGTTACTTTCTGAGCAACTTTAGTCAGTGCTACCTGCAGTAATTAGAAAACCCCCAGTATCTGTCTCTGTGAGAGACAAAGACAAGTCCAAGTGTCCCTTGAGACCCTGTTTGAGTAGCAACAAATTGTGTTGAAGTCTCAGCTGTGCCCTCCACCTCCTGAGCAGCAAGTTGTTTCTCCAGGCTGCATAAGAATGGCCATGGTACTCCCTGATAGCAAACACATTTCCAGGGGTTATGTGATTGCTCAGCATCCCTATTTTTGGATTTTCTTGTTTCTGGGGTTTAGCTATTGAACTGATAAGATAAAAAGTCCATTACAGAAGGCAGTAACGATCACCATTTCTTCTCCAGCATACACAGATGAAGTTGTTACAGCTATTAAACAAAGCAGACGAGCAATAATTATTTTGAGCCCAGCCTACGTCAGCGGACCAAGCATCTTTGAACTGCAGGCAGCGGTGAACTGTGCGTTAGAAGACAAAAAGATCAAAGTGGTATTAATAAAGTTCCAGGCTTTCCAAGAGCCAGAGACTTTGCCTCCAGTAGTGAAGAAAGCTCTTCGGATTTTACCAGTCATTACCTGGAAGTCTTCTATTTCTGCTGCTCCAGACAAGAAGTTCTGGAAATATATGCATTACCACATGCCAGTAAAAACTAGTAAGATGTTGGGAAATTGCAGCTTAAAGGGTTTTTTCCAAAGGTTATTCAGCCTGGTATATTGATAGCAGAAATTTCACAGAAGGATGACAGCAGGCTCAGGAAGGATGACATGATTGTAAAAGACCTTTTCTACATTGGCTGACCACTGTGGACTGCCACTGCGGTGACATACCTGGCTCCAGAACAGCGAGAACGACTGCAGTGTGACAGTGCTGCAGCCCCACAGTAAAACTAAGTGGCACTGCACACAACTGTAAACGTGAAGCATCTTTTGTAAATTATTATTTTATTTTTTTATTATATTTATTATATTATTTTGCTGTGATATTGTGACATACATGTGAATGTTTTGTTCTTTGGACTGTATTTGTTCTTTGGACTGTATTTCTTCTGGAATACCTTTATACTTGTTTTCTAGAAAAAGATTAAAAAAGAAAACTCCAGAGGAAGCTCGCAGTTTAATTTTCCTGTGTGGGCCAGTGGGACAAACCCAAACTCTTTCAATGAGTTACCTCCTCCTGTGGGAGCACCAAGGAAGTACCATGGGAGACTGCTACAACTGGGTATGTCGAAGGGGTTGAGAAAAGAAGGAGCACTGTGTCAGCGCTGATCCCAGGCATCTCCATCCTTCCTGCAATGGGAGCAAGCGTTCCTAGCAGCTGTGAAACATTTCACACTCCGAGACATCTGCACACTGCCGATCCTGCCTGGTGCTGGTCACTCATGGGTCCCACTGAACCTGTTGGTATTATGAGTATGCAGTTGTAAACCAAAGGCCTGGTTGTCACATCTAGTAGACTTCCAGGGACGCTGATGTCTTTCCCTTGCAGCCTTCTGGCTGCTAGCTCCCCAGGGTTCCTATCACTTACTCTCAAGGCATCTTGCAGCCTGTGTGTGTATGGCTGTAGCTAAGTGAAATGCAATGGTTAGTGTTAAGAAAATCTGAGTAGAAGAGCCACTGATCTGGTGTTCTGCTGACTTCACTGGGCCTTCAAGTTAACAAGTCCTTGTTTTTTATAATGCTAATATTGAATAGCTCATCTGCCAGATTCCTTCTTGGAAAGGAACTTCAAGAAATACTTATGTTAACAGGGCCAGCATACTGAAAAAAGAACATCTCCTTTGCAAGCAGGCTGAGCATTATCTACCTAACTTTGTGTTGGGTTCAAAGCTTTTGGTGGGAGGACTGGTGGTGGTGCTGTGGGGAAGAAGCAGAAGATAGTGCCTCATGTAGAAACAGAACATCAAATGGCATTACTGGCTGTACCACAGAAAATTTTGACACTGCAGTTGCACTTGCACTGGGGATTTAGTTCAGATCATGATGAGCTTTTGAAGCAAATTTCCCAGTTGTCACCACTTGTTGCTTTTTGTTTTGTACTACAAAGCACCACAGGTGCACAGACTGGATCCCTTTCCACAGAAAGTCAAGTGGAAGATGTTCTCCATGAAGGGACGTCCAGTCCGTGGGACCAGTTAGCCTGAAGGCATCCCCTCCCAAACACATACAGGGTGGATGTGGGGTCCTCAGCACTGGTTGTTTTGGGGTACATCTCTGTTCTCATTGGTCTGCACTGTTTTCCAACACAATCAAATCAGTAGGCAATTTGAATAATTTATCAGTAAATTAAATTTACTCACTTCTAATGGATGTAATACAGGCTTCAGCAGCTTCTAATCAACACTACCATGTTCGCACACTTTGTTATCCTAACACTAAACATGTTGGGTTTTGTGGAGGAGAGAAGAGGCTGAGCGTGTAAAAAAGTGTTCCATAGGGGTGAATGTCGTGTTGGAGGAGGATAATGGGGTTGCCCAGTAAATGTCTTGCTGGCATAAGTAAAACAAATGGCAAATACAAGACAAGTCAAGATACAGTTTTAGGCACGTGATGTGACTCAGACCTTCCTCTTTCTGTTGTTATAATGTCTTAAGTTACATACATGCATTTAAGAGAGAGAACGCATTTCTAAACAAGAACGTAATTTGCGTGGTCCTCCACCAGATGTCCTTACCGTAAGCCCTGCAGAATCCGTTTATTTACACACCGAGTAGTTCTGTTACCCGGTGAGACAGGACCAGCCAGCAGTGCCAAGTGCGGTACCCGAGGTGCCAGTGGCACTGGGGAGGCAGACGGGGAGTGAGGGCAGGAGAGGAAGGTATGGAGCCAGCTCTCCTGCCTGCCCAGGGTGCCACCGTCTCTCCCACCTGATGCTGTTTACTCGTGCTGCGCTTGCTGCCTGAATGGTGCACGTTGCAGCATTTTTTTTTTTTTTTGACAGTGGAAAAAAAATCTGAGCGGCTGGATAAATAACGTAGTTGGAAAGGGCTTTTTATTCCTTAACAAGGTGATGCTGTGGCCAAGGTTTACCTGGGTCGGAGGAACCTGCAGAACCGGTATCTTCATACAACCTCCAGGTCCATCTGTAACACAAGGAACAGGACAGGCACATTAGGGCTTTCAAAATGACCTTTAGCAGGTAAATGAAGCAGCCCTGAGGAAGAAGCGGCCGTGGCTACGAGCAGCGCAAATCAACAGGAGTGAGTGTTGCATACCTTCATGCACCCACTATATGCTATATCTGTAATAAAATAGTCACAGAGCCCCAGACATGGGGCTTGCACATGCAAAGCTTTTGAACTGGTTGCTGTCACTGTCGAGTCTGGTGTGCTGTTCTGCTGCTGCTGATGTGGATGAGCCCAACCTGAGCAAGAGTTTCTTGCCTCAGCATGAATCTGATCACGGGGGTGCTGTTGGCTCTTCACAAGATACAAGGCTACATGTTTTCACAGTGGACTATGACTATGTGCAAATTCCCTATGAAGTTACTCTTTGGATCCTCCTTGCCTCTCTTGCAAAAATAGGTAAGTAGAAAATGGGGTCTTGGGTCCTCCTACCTCGGCAAGAAGTTAAAAATGTACCATGTAACCAAGTATCTTCCATGCATTTTTGTAGCTGGGATTGTTTTCACAGCTTCTGCCCTCAGAAGAACAGGTGTGTTCATTACCATGACAATGACAAAATTCCACCCCTGAATGCTTCCAGTTTACTGAAGTAAATACATGATCTCTAACCCTCATATCTATTGGGTTGTCTATGTTAGTGAATAGCAATGGAGCTCCTCCACACAGTGCTGTCCATCCTTTTTTCTAGTATTTAAACATCACGAGATATCAGAATTTACAACCTGCCTCAGCTGTAGAAAACAGTAACACCAGACTGAGACTTCAAGGGTATTGAATTTGGTGGAGAAAAGTGGGAAGTTTTTTTCCATTGTGCGAATAACAAGGAACATTTCCCCATGGGTCTTTGTTTTGCATGTTTGCTGTTGAAACTTGCTCAGAAAGTAATGCCAGAGGAGAGGGACTGAGAGTCTAAGAGGGTGTAGGTCATCAGAGATGTAAGGTAAGTATGCTTTCTGAGTACATACCAATGCATCTAGCCTCTATTAGAGCTCCGTGTAGGTATCTGAATGAAGAAAGACAACTCGTGGAGAAGTAGGGACTGCAATTAACATAGCAAAAATGGTTCTCCATGTGTCTTACATCTTTGCATGGCTGGGCTCAAAGTATTTTGAACATTCAGAATTAATGCAGCAATAACAAATAAATGAAGAAGATGGAAATAATGTGAGGAGCTGCACACATGTGATGTCCCTGTCCTCTTGATCTTTCCATGGGATTTTCAAACATTAGTATAAAACAGGCTGGTAGGTGTTACCACTGACCATGATTTGCCAGTTTCATAATAGCTGATGATCTCAATCCAATTCGTATAAACAAATGTCTTCACTGTTAAAATAATAATAAAAGTTTTCACAAATCAAATTTGTCGTTATGGCATCAGCAGAGTGTGTTAGCATGTTGATCAATTGCTTTATTCACCATCCATAAACACACAGGACTTGCCATGTGGGACATTGACTCAATATTCTTGTTTTGAGCAAGAAATAGATACTTTAGAAGAACTGTGCAATGCCTCCTAAGCAGACCTGTTCCTTAGCTGGGAGTTTTCAAATAATATTATTTTTGGTGAAAACTGTGGAGCTGCTGACTTCAAATCTACTTGTAAGAAAGCATTAGTCTGAATAATATGGTTACCCACGGAAGAAGATTTCCAAACCATTAAAAACTTTCAGTGCTTTATTCAGGTATTATCTTCTTTCTGGATTTCAAGATTTCAGAGTGGGAAACATTTCTGAGATCTTGAAAGGCAAAACGATCCCCCTATTCTGTAAGAATAAGAAAGAAGACTTAAACATGATTTTTTTAATTAAAAAAGAAGATGAGTAGAGTTATGATCTTAACATACTTTTTGGTAAAAATAAATAGTCTCCTAAATAAATTATTTAAAATCTCATAAAAATATTTTTCTTTACTTTTGAACATTGTTCATTTGAGGGTCACAGAAATGCAGTCATGGTATGAGTTTCTAGAGTTATGGGATGAAGACCGACTTAGCTTCAGGCATGGAGACACAGCCATTGGATTTATAGGTTTCTTAGTCTACCTTATTCTCATTCTTGTAAATTCAGAAAAATTCCTCCCATTTCTAGTAGAGGCACCTCTCATTCGCAATGTGATTACACAGTTCCTGGTATAAGGACTAGATGAGCCATTGCAAGAGATTATTCTAGGATTGGTATCAGTATTCGTGTCAAATGGGAAGAATTATATGAACGCAGTTGCGGTAGTGGTACATCAGGGCGGACAGGAAGAGGTTCATATCCACAACATTTAGATGGTAAGTGTAGCCCTTTCTCTGCTTGGCTTGTAAACTAATAAGCACCCTGTCAAGAAGCTGTGTGTGGCTGTCCGTAGGACATCAGTGTTGGTCTGCTCCTTCTCAGCTCTGGCCCACGTCAACAAGCCTTCTCTCAGGCAGTGCCCGGGCAGACTGCAGGTCCTGTTCCCACTGTCAGTTTGGGTATGACCAGTTCTTGCTGGGGTAGGGAAGAGAATCTGGCTGTATGGATGCAAGCTGATCCTTTCTGCTTGGAAAAGTCTTTGGCCTGCTTAATTTGCTAGTGTAGACTCAGCCTTTATTCTAGTGAGGAAAAAAAAATCCTTCAGGAGACATTTTTCTCAGATATTTGATGGCTGCTGGTAGTTGTCTCAGCTCTGCTGAAATCACTCCTGTTGTTTCAGTAAACTAACTGATAAGGTTCTTTACAAAATGTTGTTTACCTTATGTAGGAACGGCAATTTTCCCAGAAAAGCAAGGTTAATCAACTTGTACAAAGTCTTATGTTACTGTGGCTTGATTTCTGCTGCTTTGGAAATTTTGTTGGTGGTGAATACTCACTCCCTCTGCCTGTGGATCACCTGAAGTCCATGCAATGTTTCAGAGGAGTGCTGGAAGTGGAGGGAGCTGAGCAGACCGTGGCATCTGAGCTGCTCCCTGCTCCCTTAGGCTTCTCCAGGTTCCTGGTCAGCCCAAATCCAGCAGCAGCTCTGCAGCCAGGGACCCTCCTCAGCACTGGGGGGGAGTTGCCTTCAACCTGCAGCCAGGGATGCAGGTCTCTGAGATGGAGGGACAATACTGTGCCTCAGAGGTTTGGCAGTAGCGGTTGGGCAGCAAGGGTTCTTGAAGAATATTTTCTTTCCAAATTGTGGAGTACCTTTTCAAAGAGGTTTCTGCATTCCTAGAAGTGGAGCTTAGACTCAGGCACACTTGTGTAGAAATCGAGAGTTGGGGAGCGGGAAGAGAGAGATTCATGGCCAAACTCTTCCCCTGCTTTAGTGATGCAAGTCTGGGAATGTTTAATTTTGAAGGGAACAGTACTGCCTGTTATTACATTCATAATCCTAAGAGCAAAACTTGTCTGTCTGAAGACAAAGTACTCAAAGGCAGGCAAAGCATCTGTCTGACTTCAGGTTAATTTAAACTTGAATAATACGCTAATGTTTTATTCAAGGTTTCCATATCTATCATCGATTACCAAGACTCATGCCTGAAAGCTGCATCCTGATTGCCATTGGAGCACTAGTGGGAGCAATCATCTTTGCTTCTGATCACAAATCTCCACCAGTGATGAACACAAGTATTTACTTCTTGTATCTCCTTCCTCCCATTGTCCTGGAGGAGGGTTATTTCATGCCAACTCGCCCATTTTTTGAAAACTTTGGGTCCATCCTGTGGTGGTCTGTGCTGGGATCTCTGCTGAACTCATTTGGGATTGGCCTCTCCCTCTACGGACTCTGCCAGATTGAAGCCTTTGGCCTGACCGACCTGAACCTGCTACAGAACCTGCTCTTTGGCAGCATGATTTCTGCTGTGGATCCTGTGGCAGCTCTCGTAGTTTTTGAAGAAGCCTCCGTTAATGAGCAGCTTCACATGATGATCTTTGGAGAGTCATTGCTAAATGATGGCATAACTGTGGTGAGTTTCTTTCCACTCCTTGTCCTCTTTGGGCTCTTGTGGCTTGTAGGGTTATAGGGCACAGGATGAGAGCAGCTCTAAGGAGATCCTAGATACATTATTTATGTTATGGATACTCCACTCCATTACACACAAGTAATGTTAATATATGTAAAGATTACATCTTCTATTAAATCTTTCAAAAACGTTGTTTTAGAGCTGCTGGAAGAGCAAAGCATACACATTAGACATCACATCTTGCTCTTGCATTTACTAAAGTGAATGGATAAGCTACAGATGATTTTGCTGGTAGGATCAATGTAAGACCTAGGAACGTTCTTGACATCATGCAAGCAAATAAATAGAAAACTGTACTGCTTAAAGACTGAAGGCAGCAGAAGTAGCAATACAGGAGACGCTGCCTTGTCACATGCCTCAGAGAACCCTCTGCAAAAAAAAAAAAAAAAAAAACAGATGTGCACAACACTAGTAACTATTTATAGGCATATAGCAAATCACGGCAAAAGAAAAAAAAAAAAAGACAGATGTGGACAACCTCTTGAGGCCACCCTCTTTCCTCCAGCCCCCTCTAGGAAGTTCCCCAGAGACCTTAGACAGGAATTCCAAAAGCCACTAATAACTTTGTGTAACTCTGTTTCTATCAGTAAAAAACCTGACATCTGACAAATGTTCACCCTTCTTGGCTGTTTCATCTCAAGTGTCCAGAAACAACGCTTCTGCAATAAGAGAGATTTTGTTTGTTGGTTTTTGGTTTTGGTTGGGGATTTTTGTTTGTTTTTAAATAAGAAAAGAGTGTTTTTATGGAGCTCCTTTTACTAATACTTTTCCCCTTTCCTCATTAGTTCTACTAAAACTTGGAGCAACCTGAAATTCTAACTTTAAACCACAATTGACAAAAACACTTAGAATATGCATGTTTTTCAAGGAAGAAATTTCAAGCAGGAAATTCATTGCTCAGAAACCAAGAGGGCTGCTCATGTGCTGCAAGTTAACTGCAGGTTAAGGAGTTTTACTAGATAAGATCTTTACAGAATTTAAATCACAGGAATCTAAAACACATAAAAACTATCCAGATACTGTTATACATGAGGCACAGCACAACTTGGACTTGTAAAAGCTGTACAGAGTTCATTGCTGAAAGGCTTCATGGGAGAAGTGCAGTTACGAAAAGGAAAAGGAATGAAGTGATTTCTTGCAGCCACAGTCTACTGTGGAGGTCATAAACCCTTCCTTTTGGTGAATCAGAGATGTAGGGCTGATGTAGAACTAAGGGACAAGTGTTACTTAACTTTACATGCAAACTGCTTATGCGTTACAGTTCTAACAAAAAAATCCCCAATGCATCTATCAATTCCACTTGTCTTTTTGGTTCCTTCAAATGCAGACCTCAAAAAGTAATACCTCTTCATGCTCATTCTGAAAGAGCTTGTTTCATCCTTTTTTTGACTGGCTCTCTACTTGCCTTGCCTTTGCTCCCAGCTGTTATTTATGATGTGGGTCCAACTCGTGTCGGTATTTACATGAGCTTTCAGTCAGGATCCCGTTACAGCATAAATGTGTAGTGAGAGAAAGCCTTTAAAAACAGTGGTATTTAGACACTCCTCAGCAGCACTAGGTGTGTTAGCAAAAGAGATGAAAGGGCTGTACATGGGGAGTGTTGGCTACACCACTGTGAATTCCCTTTGCCCCTTGCACCCTCATCTTTGGGGCTCTTCTCACAGCAGCTATGTTGCAGTCAGTTTGTCAGCTCCTGCTGATGCATCTCTGCATCACCCACCTCTCACCCTTTTTCTGGGCATTCAAGTTTTCAAAATATCTACCTGGCTTCATGTTTGAGAAGACTGAAATGTTTGTCACCTGGATGGAGCCCAACAGATGGCTTTCTCCTCTCTGATACCCCGCTTGTTTTTTTAAAGGCTTTAAAACTTTTTATCTCAAGTGTCTTATCTTACCATTTCCTCCCCATTTCTCTCTTAACAGTTTCCTTTCAGTTAACTCTATGTGTTTAAAAAGATAATATCACCAAGATATATTAAGCATACATATTTTTTGATTCTTTAAATACAAATATCCCCTGGTTATCTACAGTCTTTATCAGCTTGAACATTTTTTGCCCCAGCAGGAAAAACTGGTATGAATTTTGCTGAACTTGTGTATTACATTTAAGGCAACAATAGCTCCCTCTCCTATATTTAGTTCAATGTCTTAGTATAAAAATCTCACAAAATAACACACTGTGGAATTAGAATGATGATTTAGGAGTTACGCCTTTGACTTAAGGGATTGGGACAAAAGTGGATAATTTACCCTTTTAACTCATTTGTACCTTTTCCCTTTCTCCTCAGTAGGGTCATATCCATGGATGGAACAAGAAGGCTCCAGGTCCTATTAATTGCTTCTTTTCCCAGTTGCTTCTGAGAGGGCTGTTAGTATCAGAACAGCGCAGACCGCAACAGGACTGATCCTAGCATGTATCATGCATTAGTGGAGTTTCAAAGCCCTGTTCAAAACAGTGATGTTGGTAAATCTGGTGCAGATTTCATTCAGACGTGAACACAGGTGGGAGACCCTGATTTTGCTGCAAAGTGTTTCAGGCATCCGAAGCTCTGCTTCTGCATATACACAGACCATTTCTGTCTCAACAGGAGCTGAGCACCTGTGTGCATCAGAAAACAGAATATTTCCCCTGACCACTTCATCTTTGAAGCTTGATTTTAGAAACACTGAGGACACCTATGCATCAGGCTGTAGTCAAAATGAAGTGGCAGTGACTATTTTCTCTAATGGTGCCCTCTCTTCATTGTGAGCAGAGCTGTTAAAGAAATCTACTGCATGATCAAGACCCAAGCAAAATTAATTTCTTTATTTGAGGGGATTTGAATTTACCTCTGATGTTGCTGAGGGAGGCTTCGACCACTGGGGTGTAAGGGTGGTAGTAAGGAGGATGGAGATGGGATACGCTCTGCTCCTCTTGTTGAAGTTGACCCACTGTGTTTAGAGTAAAATTAAGTGCATGTAGTCAGAAAGAGTTATCAGGGTGGAAAGAGTTATGAAGATTGCCTGTGTTGGTGGTGAAGGCAGTCACTTGAAAATCTTTTTTCCAGTGCTTCTGATGTGGTTGGCATGTGCAATGTTTGATCATATAGACATCTGGAACAGGGACCAGTCCCCAGGGAGATCCCCTGAGGGTGACAGTGTCACGCTTTCTCTTCCTCTCCCTGGCTCTAACAGCCAGCCAGTGGTACACCACTACATGGTAATGTCCCCTCCAAAAAACCCAAAGCGTGACATTCTCAGAGCTGTTAAATGAGGCCGACTATCATTCCATCCCTCCTTTTTGAGTGAACAAGGGCATCCTAAGCTGATTCAGGCTTTTCTGCCATATAAAGAATTACAATACTCCATTTACTGGCATAAACCCTGCAATGTAACTTAGCCAAGCAGCAGTCACTGGAGCCTTACCTGTATGACGCAGTGCAGGGTGTTGTACAGAACAGTTTACTCCCACAAAGTGTGTTGCAAAAAAATTAAAATAATGTCATATTTCCACAGTTTCCATTTTAATGCCAATTCAGTTGTATCACATAGACACTTTAGGAACTAGAATAAGAGATAAAAACTAAGCCATTTGCTGAGGATAATTTGCTTTATTCATAAGTAAGTCAGCATAGATTCATGCCTTGGTATCATTAATAAAGCACTACAAGTCCTAGGAAGAGGTTGAAGTCTGCAAGAAAGGGGGAACAGAGAGAAAACAGGCTTTGTAATTAAAAGCTGTATGGTAAGTACAGTAAGGTTTACTTACTGCGAAGACATGCACCGTCTTTTCCTTATCTGGCACTGAAGAGCCTAATTTTATACAAAGTCATCAGGAAAAAGCAGCTCTGGGTATTTTCTCACATGAAACATCTTGTTATGCTTTGCTGTCTGCCAGGGATATTAGCAAAGAGCCTCCTGGAGAACAGGCTATGTGACAGCTCAAGGTCATATATTCCCAGCAGCAATTTAAGATTAGATAGTAGCTGGGGAATAATTATTATACTAATGAGCTTGACTCTTCTACCTGCAAATATCTGCTTTAATCTTCTTAATAGCCTTCTGGAGTTAACTATGTGAAGAAGAAAGACCAAAGAAGACAAGATAAGGCAAATTATTTTGGTCTGTTTTACATTTTTGAAGTAATGCTTTGGTGCAACAGCTTTGGAGAGCTGTTCCCCAAATTCTCTTCGAAACTGAAAGGTGACTTTCATGTGTTACACTCCCTGTAAACAGATCTGGCAGGACTTAATGTTAACTGACTGTCAGCAACGTTTAAGATGTTTTTATTACTACACCACTCATTACTGTGGAAACTTTCTATTTGTTTCTAAAAGATGGATGAAAGTGGAATATACTGAAGACTTTCCATCACAAATTTCTGCAGAAGAAAAGTATTGATAATAGAAGTATGGTAAACTTACCTGCTCTGAACTAAATGAAATTATCTTTACAGACCAAATTATATAATATAGCAAATTCAATCTTTCTTCTAATCTGACATTGTTTTCTTTGTATTTTTTTTCATTTCAAGCTTTCTAGTCAAAATACATGTGTGAAGAGTCTTTAGGTCATTTAGAGTGCCACAGCTTTTGGTTCCCGCATTGAGATTGTCACAGAGTTCTGGGGAAGGAGGATAAGTGGCATCAAACCCAAAGCATGTGAGGATAGAGAGGTTGTATTTATCTAGCTAGAGACAATATGAAACTGAGGCTATCATTTTCCCTTGCCTTGCTTTGCCCTGCCTTGCCTTGCCTTCCCGCTCCTGCTTCCTTTCCCATTCCCAGTGATGTCTCAGGATTTTTATGCAGCAAATACTATTGAAAAGCATTTAACATTCCAGAGTCCATTTAATGAAGTGTGTCCAGTCTACTGATCATACAGACAACGTAAATGGGATTTAAATAAAAAGTGTGATTCTTATCCACAGCCCTGCCCCATCCTAAGTCAAAAAGAGAACATGGAGGGGAGAGCTTGGGCTTGGCAAGGTGTTCAGCTGGGCTTTCAATATCTGTTACAAAGACCAAAAATTAACTTTACCTTCAGAAAACAAAACAGCATGAGTACTTTTCAGTTACTTCAATTGCATTTGATCCCCCAGAGTTTTACTCTTATTACATAACCATCTACCCTTCTTTTTTTTCTCTTCTTCAGGGCACTTAACAGACCCCTAATTCTGGGACTTGTTAAGAACCAGCTGAGCTTTCAACTATTACTTTGCTGAGCTGTATAAAGCAATTTCAGTCATATATACACCCCCTCCCACTAAGAAATGAGTAATCCTGCCAGGTGCTGAAAGATGCCTGACTGCTATCTCCTTATTTTCATGCGTAGGTTTTATATAACATCTTCATCGCCTTCACCCAGATGCACAGGTACGAAGAAATTGAATCCATCGATGTCTTTGCTGGCTTCGCTCGCTTCTTCGTGGTGGGGCTGGGTGGCATATTGTTCGGCATCGTCTTTGGATTTGTTTCAGCGCTCATGACTCGATTCACCCACAACGTTTCTGCTATTGAACCTCTGCTGGTCTTCATGTTCAGCTACCTGTCATACTTGTCTGCTGAAACCCTTTACATCTCAGGCATTTTGGCGTGAGTATCCCGTATGGCTTTTTGGGTGCCCTCTCGAGGGAAGTGGCATCGTTGTGAGGAGGTGGTTTGCTCGAGGTTGGTATAATACAGGCATTTTTAGTCTCTGGCCCAGAGATCTGCAGTGGATGGCTTCTAAGGGATCTGTAAAATGCAGTGGTAAATAGGAAAAGCAAACCCACAGTCAGCATAGGCATAGATGTACTACTGAGGAGTGCGTATCTGCTCTGAATTTTTTTTCACATTTTTGCCCATTGGAAAAAGTACTGCAAGCTGTGGGTAAAATATCAAGTGCTGCCACCACCTGGCTGCTGCCTCTGGCAAGATCAGCAGAGTGAGGGAACGATCTGATAATAGATCTGTGTATCTGTATTTCTTTCTAAGCAGCATCACTATCAGATTACAAGAGAGATGAAAAGTAGCGAGTATGGAAAACATCATAAAGAACTTCTGAGTTCTTGCTTTTGGATGCAGCTGTGAACATCAGCTCTAACACAATTTACTGGAATTACATTACATTTCAACAGTATCACTGGAACTGAGATTGGGCAAAACCAGGCAATTGAGAACATCAAGCACATATGCATACATATACTCATGTACATAGACATTGACAATCATGTTTTGATGTGACCAGGATAGTTTGATACTGCTGTAATGCTGGGGACCGCTTCCTTAAAGCGCTGTGATGGCATGGGTGCAGAGAGAAAGCTGGCAGGTCTATCGACCTCTGTGACTGCGGAGAGGATGAGTATTGTGGGAAGGAAAGAGCATGGTGGCAGGAAAGGAGTCGGAAGAAAAAGGAAGGAAATGGGGGAGAAAGTGAGAGACTTTACGAGAAAACTGTTGGTAGGTGAATTTCAAAGATAGGGCAAACAGCCCCTCAGCAGGGTAAAGTGTAAAGAAATGGGAACCTGATGGTGGTAAATGCTCCGGCTAGAGCTGCTGCCGGCTGCGGCAGGCTCAGTGCCCAGCTGGTGGGTGGCAGCAGCCTTGCATGGCCTGTGTTGGCTCTGAGCTTGCATGCCAGCTCTTGTGGGCCCTGGTGCTCCAGGAAGGAGTTCTCTTTATTGAGGACAAATTGGTTTGAACCTAACAAATACAAGAGTGTGACTGTTGATGTCCAGACAGGTGCATTTACTCAGTTCCACCCATGACCTTCATTTCACAGATTCACAGAATGGTTTGGGTTGGAAAGGACTTTTAAAGGCCATTTAGTCCAACCCCCCTGCAATGAGCAGGGACATCTTCAACTAGATCAGGTTGCTCAGAGCCCCATCCAGTCTGACCTGGAATGTTGCCAGCGATCGGGCATCTACCACCTTTCTGGGAAACCTGGGCCAGTGTTTCACCACCCTCATTGTGAAAAATTTCCTCCTTATATCCAGTCTAAATCTACTCTCTATCATTTTAAAACCATTATCCCTTGTTCTATTGCAGCAGGCCCTGGTAAAAAGTCAGTCCCCATATTTCTTATAAGCCCCTTTTAAGTCCTGGCAGGTTGCAACAAGGTCTCCCCAGAGCCTTCTGTTCCCCAGGCTGAACAACCCCAATTTGTTCAGCTTCAAAGCAGAACTGGCTTTGTAAAAACAATCTTTGCGGAATAGCCTTGGGAAGCAGTATTTGAATATTTAGCCATGTTAAATAAGTAGTTATACAGGAGATAGATATGTTTTTCTGAGCAATTAGACTAAGCAGATGAGTCTTGTACTATGTTTTGCATATCCAACACATTTGGTCTGATTGAGGTGACTGGC